CAGACACAGAATCGAGTTCCTTGATGCGAACGAGAGGAGCTGCTACGTGCCAGAGAGATGCAGGGGAACAAAGGTACAACCGGAAGGACACGCGGCTTTCTTCTCAACGGAGACTGTCAGGAGGAGGCTGCAGCCTCCACTGAGGCCAGAGGCTCATGTCAGGTCCTCCCGGCCTGATGGGGGTGGAGTGAGGGGAGAGAGAGAGAGACACAGAGAGAAAGAGATAGAGAGAGAGCGTGCTAATGATAGTGTGTGTGTGTGTGTGTGTGTGTGTGTGTGTGTGTGTGTTCAGTTAAAGCTCTAGCTGGTCTTCCGGTAACACAGACCATTCAAAGACCGTTCTGGAGAGCAGACGGGGGACAATGCCCTCCAGAATACAGGACGGAGTTTAGAAAGGTGCGGAAGGCAGACGCAGACGGCAGATGAACGCTGTTGGTTGTTGTTCTAACGGTAGCGGAGGGGGGGACCAGAGGAAATAAGAAACAATGTTAGTGCTAAGGCAGAGGGTGGCATTCGAAAACGTCAGACTCCCTACGACCGTTTCCCAGGATGCCCCTGAGGCCTTGGGCCTCAAATCCGGAGTGCTTGTTAGAGCCCGCCCCCAGAACGTCTCACTCGGTAGGTCTGGAGTGGGGCTCCAATACACATTTCCGACAAGTTCCCAAAGGACGGTGCCAATGGTGGACAGCGCTCAGGTCCACGGCCCTCAGTCGGGAGAAACGTCCCTCAGGGACATTTCTCAGCCAGCTCTGTGCTGGAGGCCCCCACTAGAAAAAGAAAGACGCCTTCGCCGCCTGAGTCCACCTGCCCTTCTCGTGCCGGACTAGGATTTTACAAAGAAAGAGGCATGAACTAGTACCGAGGGCGGGAATGTGGCCAAAGTCCAGGCCAGTTCATTCCCACCTGGTCACCGGCTTGGGGGCAGGGCCCGGGGCGGGTACACTCCTGTGTGCAGACACATGGGTTCCACGCTGGGGGGAGGGGGTGTGCGGGTCTGAGAGAGGGCTGTGTGGGGGGGAGTCCCTCTCATCTGCCTTAGGGTCCTCGGGTCTCGCCTTCCTCCCTCCGCCCCGGTCAAACAAACGTCTAAAGAAAGCAGAAAGAGCGTTTCAACAAAGGCATACGCGCCACAGGTAGGAGTCCTGGGTTCTATGCTGGTTATGAAATTACACGGGCTATGAAATTATAAAGATACATTTCCTTCCTGTGTATGCACTGTACAATATCAATGGGAAGTAACGATTCAGGGATGGGAAGGATGTGTGGAAAGAGAGAGGCAACTCTGGGGAGAGAGCTCTTTCAGGGCTAGCACCGTTAGAGGGGCCTCCCGGAGGGGAGCGGGGAGCCTCACACTGGGAGGAAGGTTCGGACGCTGCTTGGCAGGTCGAGCTCGGAGAAGGTCCGGGTCTGGTCAAGCACGCCACCCACCGGGGGGCTGTGCTGGGGGGACGGCAGAGGAAAGGCAGCGGCCCGCACCCCCCCACCACTGAGAGAGTGTGCGTGGGGTCTGGGGCGCGGGCGGCAGGGAGCCAGACTCGGGGAGTCGCACGGGAGACTCTACTCTTCCAGGCCTTGCTAGAAGGCCCGGGGAAGGTCGTTTCCAACTTTCCAACTCCCAGCCAGGGTTCTTTTTGTGTCACACCTGGCCGTGCTCAGGGGAACCGTGGGATCTGGGGTCGAACCCGGGCCAGCAGCATGCAAAGCAGTTGCCCAATGCGCTGTCCGAGGGCTCAGGCTTGTGCGTCGGGCAGCTGGGATTTTGGGTGAAGCCTGGGTCCCGCGTTCCCTTGGAAAAGTGCCGAGGCGCGTATACTTCCTGCTCCATTGGCAAGTGTCTCCCCTCCGCCCCCGGATCGGTCTGAGGAAGGGCCAAGTGACCGTCTATGTTCGGTCTGACCCGCAAGGGCCTGGAAGTTGGAGCGGAGAGAGCAGGCACTTGGCTGGCGGCACTAGAGAGGAAACGGTCGCTCTCCATGACGACGAGCACTCAGGGTGAGTGAACACCGTCGTCTTAGGGAGGCCGAGGGTCAGCGGAAGAGCCGACTGGACTGCCTCCCTGGTCCTGCCCTTTTCTTGTATTGCTCCGACCTACTAAGGTTCTGGCTGGGCCCCTCATCCAGGCCCCTGGTAGGAGTCCCCATGACGAAAATGCCAAAGGACCCCTGAGAACTATACGCGGGGGCTCCGGAGTGACGCGGACCCCTTTCCGCAAGTGAGTGGCCCACACAGGGACACCGGCAGGTCCCCTGCGGCTTCCTCCAAGGCCACGCACAGGGCAGGGCACATGTGCAGCCAGCGATAGGACGCTTGACCTGAAAGATCACCTGACTGTTGGGCTCCCAGTGGAAAATCAAGACAATAAGTAAAAAAATCTGACAACATCAAAAGCACCCAAAGCACAAGAGAGTCCCCAGAAAGAGCCTGAGAAGCCCTGAGAGCAGGTGACAGCGGTGATGTGTGGCGTGTGGAGCCTGTGAGCCGGCCATCCGCTGTGCCAGCGGCGAATCTTTGTTGGTTCGGTTTGGTTTGGGGGGTCACGCCTGACAGTGCTCAGGGCTGACTCCAGGCTCTGTGTTCAGGAATCACACTCCTGGCGGTGCTTGGGGGCTGAGGTCCATAGCGGGTGCTGGGGGTCGGACGCCGGGTGGCTGTGTGCAAGGCAAGTGCCCTTTTTAAGACACATGCGTCTACGCTCAGGGCTTGCTCCCGACACTGGGACCAGGAATCTGCCCTTGGGGCTCGAGGGCCCTATGGCGTGCTGGGGATGGAGCCCACGCTGGCCACATGACCGACCGCTGGACTATTTCTACCGCAACCCCTGCCGGCTGCTCGTCTTGAATGACCTCGGGATGGGAAACCTGTTCTTGCCCACCGGGCTTGGCCTGCTCCACACTGGCTCTGGAAGCAGGAGAGGAAACAAAAAACCAACCCAGGAGACCCTGTTACCGGACTGCTCACCAGTACCACTCGGAAGAGGTGGGGTGGTCACAGCCCAGAACAATCTCCACTTCCCTTTGACCGTCAGCCGAGAAGACAAAATGAGAAATGAAGGCGGCAGTTACTCTGCTTGTGCGCGAGAGGGCATTTTTGGCTTGGGCAGAAGGTGGTTCTGGGCACCGCAAGGGTTTCATCCTGAAGACGGGTCAAGCGGACCTAGGGACCCACAGGCTCTGGCTTCCGGTCGCTTCCTAGGCCCTGATAGGAACTGCATAGTGCAGAGCCCAAGGAAGGGAAGTCGCAGAGGGGAAGAGAGGGACGTGCAAGATGGGCTCTTCTCACCGCAACCCAACTCTCACAGGAAGAACGGCTGACGGGCAGCCGCCCGCTTCCCAGACAGGCCAGAACTTCGGCCAGAAGGGCTCTTGGGTGGAAATCAAAGCTGTCCCTCTCCTGCCCCTGCCCCTGGTCCAACTCAAGAAGCCCACGCAGGACCTGCCTAGGCGCCAAAGAGGTCTCCTGCCGGACCATGGTGAGGCACTGCAGAGACAGCCGAGGAAACGGCAGCCGGTGGGGCTTCTGCGGTCCGCTGGGAGCCTGGAGGAGGAGGCCGAGCGGGCAGACGTGGCTCCGCGGCAGGGCACTTGCCTTGCGTGTGTGAGGGCCTGGGTTCGAATCGTCACACGACTGGGAGCGACCCCTGAGCCGGGGGGAGCCACAGAACCCCCAAACCAAATAAAGACCGAACCAAATGAACCAAATACAAGAAAGAAAGGGAAAAGAAAAGTAGAAGCAGATTCAGAGGATGGGGGACACTCGTGAATGCAAGGCCCTTTATGGGCTCGGAGAAAAAGACAGAAAAATACGATGCTGAGATGGGAGGAGGGCGCGGTCCCCGGAGGGGGGCTCCCGGGAGGAGTGGATCTAGTTTTAGTTTCTGTGTTGTCTCTTGCGGGAGCGGGGTCGGGGAGGGGTGGGCACACCGGAAGGTCCTCGGGAGTGATTCTCCGCTCACTGCCCAGACCACTCCCTGCACTGCCAGTGAGGGGGCCTGGGGCTCGGATGTGCAAAGGCGCATTTCAGCCCTGCGGGCCACCTCTTGCAACGAACCAGTCAGAGCAGAGAAGACGGGAGATGAAGGGGGGCGGCAAGAGTGACAAGACGGCCAGAAGGAAGATGATGCTTTGGCCAGTAAACTCATAGAACATTGAAAAATCAACCCAGTAACCTGATGTGAGTTTTAAGATACACCGTTTCTACCTGCCCGCTGAGCAGAAGGAGGCGCTAGACTGGCGTCAGAGCGGCGCTCCTTCCCTTCCCACCATCAAGCCGTATTTACTAAGGCCACAAGTCAAGGTTACCCAGGTGGGGGGTGAGAGCACCCCCCAAGGCACTGGGAAAACTCCAGGGACAAGGCGAGCTGCCCAACAGCTCAGGAAGTACAGGAAAAAGGACCCCCGCCTCCCTGGGGGTTCCTCTCTCTTTTCACCTTTATGGAGGTCCTTGTTGTTTTTTTGGCGTGGGCATTTCTTCTTTTTGGTGGTGGTGTTGTGGGGGGTGGTTTGGGCACCGCTGGCTGTGCTCAGGGCTTCCTCTGGGCTCTGCACTCCTCGTGGTACTCAGGGATCAAACCCGGGGGGCCGAGTGCCAGGCAAATGCCCTTCCCGCTGTGCTGTCACTCCAGCCCTGTGCGTGTGTGGGTTTTTATGGGGGGAAAAGGGGGTCTGCTAGCAGGGAGGGAGAAGGTTTATAGAAGAGCCGAAAATACTGCGACTTCGTATGTCAAAGGTAACGTGCATTCTGCGTAAGTGAACGCTTTAGCTCGTATTTAGAACGGGGACAGGGATAAAAGAGCAGGTACTGGAAGGCCGAGTCCTGAGTCTGAGGGGCGGCGGGTGATGATGCCGGCAACTCTGGCCCCCCTCTGCCTAGCAGGAAGCGGCGTGCTGCTCAGGTTCGAGAAGGTGACAGCCAGAAGGGAGGGACCCGAGAAACCCCAAACCGCGAAGTGCCAGGGTTAGTGTTAGAGACAGGTCCGCGCGCCTGGGGCCGGGGTGATTGTTCGAACCGTCTGGAAAGGCCTTTGGCTACGGGGGGACGAGAGAAACCCCCACTCTGGGGGATGATCTACGTGGCTCTGGGCTGGGGGCTCCTAGGACAGGGGTCAACATACATGACCTGAGGCTACAGAGAAAAGCCCCACCTCTGTCCGTTACTCACAACACACACACTCCCCTCCGTGCTGCCGCGTCCGAGGCAGAGGGGAGGGACAGGATGACGTCTCGCTTGACTCTGGGGCGGGCGAGCTCCGGCCGGGGACCTCTCCTGCAGGGGAGACATCATCTGCCCGCAGACTGGGACTGTGGGGTCATGATCACGTGCGACTGTATGGGCATGCCCAGTTCTGTCCTTTGGCTGGCCATCTGCGTGAGGACCGAGGTGGCCACCGCCTCAGCTGCGGAGCGGACGCTGAGGCCGTTGCTGGGGGCCGTGGCGGAGCTGTGCTGGATCACGGGAGCTGGAGACCCCGTCGGCTCTGAGCTCTCCTTGGGGCTTTCTGCCGGGAGGGCGGGCAAAGGCAGAGACAAGTGGTCAGAACAACGGAAACCGGAAACCGACAGCTCCACACTCGCCACCGCACCCACGGAGCCCAGGACACACGGAATCCCGCTGCGCCGAGGGGCGAACTTCCAGAGTCCTGACTGCTGAGCCATGAATGAAGGGAGAAACGGGAGTTTCCGAGCAGGCGACCAGGAACTAGGCCTGCGTGAATTTCTCCGTCCCAGTGACACGAGTTTCCAACATGATCATCACCCTCCCTGGCCTCCTGGTCTCTGGGCAGCCCCTTGTCCTTACTGCTGCACTACTATTGATGTTGTCAGAGGTGGTCTGAAATACATCTCTTCTCAGCAGTTCTTTTTTGTTTGTTTTTGCTTTTTCGCTTTTCGGGTCACACCCGGCGATGCTCAGGGGTTACTCCTGGCTCTGCGCTCAGGAGTGACCCCTGGCGGTGCTCGGGGGACCATATGGGATGCTGGGGATCGAACCCTGGTCGGCCGCGTGCAAGGTAAACGCCCTACCCGCTGTGCTACTGCTCCAGCCCCTTTAGCTATCCTTTTGATGAACCGCTACAAGAATTCAATCGATCCCTTACTTGTTATGTTCCTTTAGCACGTAGCTACACCAAAGAAAAGCCGGATGATATCAAGCTCCAACTGCATAAAAACCACAAGTGACCAGTCCTCGGCCAAGGTTCAGTTAACACAACCAATTGCAAAGAGCTCTGCTAGGCCCTCCCGATTTTCAACTGGCTACGCGTTTATGCATTAATAATTCAAACCTGTCCTATGAGCTACACTGCTCCGCCTATGGGGACAACAACATCTCACTGCTGCAAAACCAAGAGCTGAGCTGCAGACGAAGGCGAATCCAACCCACTCGCCAGTCAAGCACTTTAGTCGCACCAGATAACAGCCTTCACGGCTGCTTCTTTGAATTTTTTTTATTTTGGGGGCCACACCCAGGGGTGCGCAGGGCTGACTCCTGGTAGAGCTTGGGGGACCTTATAGGGTGCTGGGGATGGAACCCGGGTCAGCTGCGTGCAAGGCAAGCTCCCTCCCCGCTGTACTACTGCTCCGCTCCTGCTTTGTGGATGTGTGGATTAAGGACAAACTTCCCATAGCAGATTATTTTTTTTTGCTTTTTTGGGTCACATCTGGTGATGCACAGGGCTGACTCCTGGCTCTGCACTCAGGAATTACCCCTGGTGGTGCTCAGGGGACCATACGGGATGCTGGGAATCGAACCCGGGTCGGCCGCGTGCAAGGCAAATGCCCTCCCCTTCTCGCTGACCTCCTGACTGATGAATGCCCAAGTCTTCTCTCGGAATTCACGTATGACCTGTGCTCTGGAACCTTGTTACGTTTGGCAAATTAACTAATGCTTGTGCCTTCACGCGAGCCTTTTCTTCCTCGATAACTGAGCATCCTCCTGTGCCAGCAGGAATGAAGCAGGAGCCCTGTCCTTCGGCAGGAAGCGCCCAGCCCCAGGGCCCGCTGCTAACGGCTGACTTCACTCACAGGCTGATTCCTTCAGCTCCCCGTGATCTCTCTCAGGCAGGGCCAGGAGCTCATCGGTCTTGTGTCAAGTACTTACCCAGATGTCTGTACCGTACAGCAGGAACAAAATAAGTTAGTTTAATTTAATGTTCAATAAATTTGATGTTTAATGAATGGACCACCTGAGTCCTTTGTTTTTGTTCCTTGTTTGGGGGCGACATCCGGCAGCGCTCAGGGGCCATCCCTCGGGGGGACACACCTGGTGGTGTTTGGGGACCATAATGGCGTTGGAGCTGCGGCCGCGAGCGAGACAAGCCCCTTAATCTCTGTATTATTTGGCCCTGAGTTCTTACGGGGACCAAGCAGAAAACTTGGTACAGACAGATTTCCTACGGATAGTCCTTAACTTCCTGACTCCATCAAGAGGCTCCGAATCACTACACTCCATTTCCGTCCGGGGTGGCCCTACCCAAGAGGATCCGCGGGGGCTGTTCCCGGGATCAGGTGCTGCTGGATCAGCCACTGGATCAGGAAGGCGAGTGCTTGACTCCCTGTACCATCTCTCTGCCCACCCCTCCTTATTTTTGCTGTCTCTCTGGCCCCCTGAGACATTTCTGGGGGCGGTGGAGGGGTTTGGGGCCATAGCCACCAGTGCTCAGGGGCTGTTCCCGGTTCTGTGCTGGTGAGTGAACCCTGGCCGTGCTCAGCACATGTGGTGCTGGGGACTGAACCCAGCTCAGCTGCAAGCAAGTGCCTTAAATCCTGACCATGATCCTGTGCTCTCTCTCTGGGCCCTGGAGCTGGTTTTCATCCTACTTTCTTTGTTGCGTACTATCAGTTTATTTATTTTTTTTTTTGCAGGGGAAGGGGGCACACCTGACAACGCTCCAGGGTTACTCCTGTACCCAGGCATTACTCCTGGCAGTGCTCAGGAGACAGTATGGGATGGCAGATGGAACCCGGGTCGGCTGTGTGCAGGGCAAGCACTTTACCTGTTGCTCTCTCTCTCTGGCCCTCATTCTCGGTCCTTTTTGAAGGGATTTCTTCTCATCACTCTTACCTCGAAATACCGGAACACCTCAGGGTTCGGTTCTGACTTCTTTATTTATTTGGGGGGGGTCACACCCCCAGTACCACCTGAGTACTGCTGGGAGCAACTGACTGCTGAGTACAAAGCCAGGAGAAATCCCCCATCCCACTCTAAACCACTGGGGAAGGCCCCAAAACCAAACCCAACAAAAGCAAACAATTAACAAAAAAAACCAAACCCAAAAAACCATGGGTCAGATAAGTCATGCCACCACTCTGCCCAGAACTGGTTCTGGTGGAGAATCGAAACTGAACAGGCCCTCCACGAACGTTCCCGTGGCTCCTGTGGCTTCCCTAGCTCAGGTCCAAGGGGTCTCCGGTCCAGTCACACTCGCCTCCCAGACGCTCCAGGACGCTCGGCACAGCCCAGTCTGGGTCTTGCGGCTGCCGCTCCTCCTGCTGACAGTACCCCGCCAGCTAAGTGAAGGCTAGCCCCTTCGATCCGGCCGCTTATTACGGCCTTCTGACCCGTGCTGCAGCAACAGCAGAGCGGGGAGGGCGCTGTCCTTGCTCACAGCCACGGGGGGTTTGATCCCCAGCACCACATAAAGTCCCCCTGCCCCTCCAGGAGTGATCCCGGAACACACAGCCAGGAGGAAGCTGGAGCACTGCCAGGAGTGGTCCAAAAACCAACCAACGAAAGACCATCTGATCTAAATTAAACCTGCTGTCAACATCTCCTCCTTGTTTCCTCTTTCGCTGGCCAGGGATGGGACCCAGGTCCCCCACACGCGGGGCATGTGCCACAGCCCCGAGCCACTTCCCTGGCGCTTCTAAATCCTTTATTATCCTTCCACCCAAGGCTGCTCCGTGTCAGTGTGGACCCTCCCTCCAGATCCAGAATGGGACTGGATGAGGCCTTCCGTGCAGTGCCGGCCACTGACAGACACTGCCGAGGATGGGCGCCACTCACCTAAGTAGCCTTGAGTCTTCTTCTGTAGTGCGGTGACCGGGCAGTCTTTGTGCGCTAACAGCAGCTGTTTCAGCTGGGCCACCTCATTGCGTAGCAATGTGACTTCGTTCTGAGCAGGAAAGACGGAAAAGAACATTGAGAAACTAAGGAGGGGCTGGAGCGACAGCACAGCGGGGAGGGCGTTTGCCTTGCACGCGGCCGACCGGGTTCGATTCCCAGCATCCCATATGGTCCCCAGGAGTAACCCCTGTGCATTGCCAGGTGTGACCCAAAAAGAAAGAAAGGAAAAAAAGAAACCAAGGGATTATTCTCAGTCCTCTTCTTTTTTCCCTTTTTTTTGGCAGGGGAGGGTTTGGGCCACACCCAGTGGTGCTCAGGGCTTACTCCTGGCTCTGTGCTCACGGATCACTTGTGGGAGGGCTCAGTGAATACGTGCAGTGCTGGGGATAGGACCCCAGTTGGCCTTACACAAGACAAGTACCCTACCCCCTGCGCCATCTTTCTGGCCCACTATTTAACTAAATTAATTAAATTTGGGGGCACCTTCAGCAATGCTCAGGGATTACTTCTTATTCTGCACTCAGGAATGACTCCTGGCGGTGCTCGGGGAACCCTATGGGATGCTGGGGACAGAACCCGGGCCGGCCACATGCAAGGCAAGCACCCTACTCGCTGTACTGTCCCACTATTTTATTTTTCTTTCCCCTCCTGCTTCTTTGCTGTTCCTGCTGTGAGGACTCGGGGCCACACACTTGCTGATGGCAACGCTGCAGACCACACACTCGACGTGGGCAAGGCTGGCATCAGACTCTGAAACTTGTGTCCTTACTTCTGCAAGGCCTGGGTTCTGCCAGAGTCACAGTCCTACCTCATAGGTTTTTGGTTTTTTTCCCCCCACATCTGGTGATGCTCAGGGGTTACTTGTGGCTCTGCACCCAGGAATCACTCCTGCTGTTGTTCCGGGGAACCAGATGGGCTGCCAGACGTGTGCCCTGCCCCTGCTGTATCAGCTCTCCAGCCCATCATCTCATTTTTCCTTCTTTCCTCCTTTCCTCCTTTCTTTCTTTCTTTCTTTCTTTCTTTCTTTTTCTTTTCTTTTCTTTTTGGGTCACACCCAACAATGCTCAGGGCTGACTCCTGGCTCTGCCCTCAAGAATCACTCCCAGCAGTGCTTGGGGGACCATACGGGATGCTGGAGATTGAACACGTGTCAGCCACATGCAAGGCAAACGCCCTACCTGCTGTATTATCGCTCCGCCCCCCCCTGCCCCCATCATCTCATTTTCAAAATGGCTTTAGGGGCCTGGGATAGCTCAGTGGCAGAGTACCTGCAAAGAGGGTAGCGAGCATGCTAGTTCTTGCCATCTATCCGTATCATCAAATGACACTGTCACTGGGACCCCAGGGCCACAAATGATCTCTGGCACGCCACAACCACTGTGTGTGACTCTGGACATGACAACAATAGCAGCAGAGGAAAGCAGGTGAGGAAAGAGGCAGATTTTCCACACGCCAGGCTAGGCCTCGAGATAGCTTCCTGCTTTTGTTGTCCTGGCCAAATACATTTTCCTCCAGGAGGTTCCATAAACCCGGCCAGACGCTCATGATTCAAGAGAGCCCCTTGGGGTGCTCCGTCTAATTTGCTTCGCCCAGAGAGTCTAGGATGACTCACTCGAGTAGCAGACTGGGAGGAAGCAGACGGTGAGTAACTTCCCCACTTCCCGGAAAAGAGGCTCCGACTGTTCCGAGATTCCTGCTTGCCGTCTTCCTGGGACAAATCCCCGTCCCGATCCGCAGGGTCACCACCTCCCACTGCCCCTCGGCTTCTGACTCAGTTCCAGTTCCCGGACTCAGCAATCTTCCGAAGCATCAGGACCCCACTTACACTGAGCTGAATGTTCTGGGAAGTGAGTTCCTCGGCCTTCTTCTCGAGGGACGACACCCACAGCTTCCGCTTCTGACGACAGCGCGACGCCGCAGCCCGGTTACGCTCCAGAAAGCGCTGGCGCCGCTCATCAGGGTCTTCGTCCACCGTGCGCCGCCTTCGCCCGCCAGTGCTCGGAGTAGGCTGGGCTGGAGAGACCTGTGGCCGGGAGGGAAGCAGAGCCGCTTGGGGGGAGGGTCTCCCCCTCCCAAATGACACCCGGCGCCTGGCAGATCAGGAGCATCAGCTGAAGATAGGGAGGGGAGGCGGGACGGACCAGTCTGGTGGAAGCAAGTTTCGTCTGTCCCTTGGCCTCCCTCGGCCTCCAATTCCCTCTGGCTGCCTCGGTTCCGTATTTACGCAGACCAGAGCTCAGCTGCAAATGCTCCTTTGTGAGGCAGCAAAATGAAATTCGGATCACTTTAAAAAACAAACAAAAAAACCCCAACAGAGACTTACAGGCAGGGACAGGGTGTCAGAGGAGTTTTTAGAGAGCCCTCGGAATAACAAACTTTTAGAAAGTTTGGAAAGCAAAATATACAAAAAGCTACAAGCTATAACGTATTTTGGAAAGGAAAGAAGATGGTTCTAAGAATCTGACTACCAGTGAGACATGGACTAGTTTAGAATAATAAAAATTAGTATAGTCTTTTTATTGGTAATATTATTGTTCATCCTCAGAGAGTTTCTACCTTAATTGTTCAACAACAGAAAAATATTTTAAAACTGTACTGAAAAATATTTTAATCAGGGCTGGAGCAATAGCACAGCGGGTAGGGCGTTTGCCTTGCACGCAGCCAACCCGGGTTCGATTCCCAGCATCCCATAGGGTCCCCCGAGCACCGCCAGGAGTAACTCCTGAGTGCAGAGCCAGGAGCAACCCCTGAGCATCGCCGGGTGTGACCCAAAAAGAAAAAAAAAATTAATCCCTTTACAAACTGGTGATAGAGGACTCTCTCTGTCTCTCTCTGTCTCTCTGTCTCTCTGTCTCTCTCTCACTCTCTCTCTCCCTCCCTCCCTCCCTCTCCACAAAAAGTCTGGTACAGGGCCTCACACAACCAAGTCAAGTGCTCTAATGCCGTCACATCCAGCCTTGTCTTTGGTTTTTATGTTTTTTTTTTTTTTTTTTTTTTTGCTTTATTTGGGTCACACCCGGCGATGCTCAGGGGTTACTCCTGGCTCATGCACTCAGGAATTACTCCTGGCGGTGCTCGGGGGACCATATGGGATGCTGGGAATCGAACCTGTGTCGGCCATGTTGGCTGTGTGCAAGGCGAACGCCCTACCCGCTGTGCTATCGCTCCAGCCCAGGTTTTTATGTTTTGTTTTTAGTTATTGGGTTCATACCTGGAGGTGCTCCTGGCTTGCTTACTTCTGGCTCTGTGCTCAGGGATCACTCCTGGCAGACTCAAGAGACCATACATGGCACTGGGGGCTGAATCCTGGTCAGTCACATGCACGGCAAACACCTTACCCGCTGCAGAATCTTCTTGGACTCCCCCTCCTTTAGTTTTCACACTTTAAGCTGATGTCCCTTGCCACTAGAGCACCTTAAAAATTTTTGCTTATTTATCTTTAGGTATTTGGGCCACACTGGCGGTGCTCACACTGTCCCAGGGACTACTCCTGGTTCTGTGCTCAGCAGACACCCCTGGTGGCGCGAAGGCCTGAAGGAGGCAAACGTGGGGCGGGCAAGGACCAGGCCACAGGCAAGGCACGAGCTTCTCCTCCGGCCCTTTTCTCTGGCCCGAAAACACTTCCTGATCATACTCTTTTCTCTGTTAGCTGGGTGTGTTCAGAGATAGACCAGCGGCCAAAATCAAAATGTAGAGAGGTCAATCATCTACCTGCAGGTACTGCGATTGGGAAACACCTGTGAGCAGCTCCCCCGTATGCCAGAACTCATATCAGTTACATAAGAATCAGTGGGAACTTATAAAAATAGAGAATCTTGGACTTCAAGTCGGAGAGAATCATGTTCTCCATTAGTATTGATTATCCAGTTAATTTTACTTATTCAAACTACCATTATTTCACAAAAGAAGTTAAATGGAGAGAAAATTTCAAACTCAGTCTAAAATTTTGGGGGTCACAGTTTAAAAAGTTGGAGCCGCTGCTTCTCACTGTACAATGGGAAGTTAACACCAATTCTTCATAGATCTTCTTCTTCTTCTTCTTTTTTTTTGCCACCCTCAGCAATTCTCAGGGCTTACTCCTGGCTCTGTGCTCAGGGATCACGGGAACCACCTGGGGCACTGGGGACTGAACCCATGTCAGCTGCGTGCCAGGCAAGTGTACTATCTACTGTACTAGGTCTCTGGCCCAATTCCCTATAGATTTTCTCTTGAGTTTCCTGGAGCACAGAGTGAGGAGCCTTAGGAAAAGACGAGGGCGTCAGAGCAACAGTGCAGTGGGCAGGGCACTTTCCGGCATGCGGCCAGTTGGTCCCCGGCGTCCCATAAGGTCCTCCGAGCACCACCAGCAGTGATCTCTGAGCGCAGAGCCAGGAGTAAGCCCTGAGCACCACTTGATGTGGCCAAAAAAACGAAAAAAGAAAACGAGGAAAGGAACAAGGAGATGCCTCTTCTCTTTTAGGCACTCAGTTACCATGAGGGCATGCCAGGGAATGAACAACTGAAGTGAGAGAAGAATAAGAAGGAAAGAAACTGGTGACTGAAAAGAAATATCCTCTCTTCAAGAGGGAGGCAACTTGGGGCAGCGGTGGCTGCTCCAGTGAGTTCAGGTACTGGCGCGGCCGGCGTCAGAGGAGGGTGTGCAGGTCCAGGTCCCGGCGGGAAAACCCGGATTCTGCTCTTGCTGTTGGCTCAACCTCCTGGCAGCATACGGTCAGGGGCTGTTAGAACTTGTCGTGGCAACTGATGAAGCAGGCGGTGACATCAAAAGGAGGTGGGCCAGGATGTGACTCTAGGAGCCCATCGCAGGGGACGCTACCTACCCACTGCAGAGAATAGGAGAACCAAGGTCCCTCAGTTCTCAGAAAACTCAATAGGACTGAGGCCCTGATGAGGGATGAAGAGATACTAGGATGCACTTGCCTGGCAAGCAGATGATCCCGATTTGCTCCAGGGCACCACGGATGGTCCCAAGTGACCCGAGGACAGAGCCAGGAGTGATCCCTGAGCACGGCTGGGTGTGGTCCAATCCCCCTAGCCCCAAAATTAAAACTGAGGCCTCCTTGAGAAGAGAACCAGACATACAAACAGGAACCCTGTGATACAGAGTGTGGTGCTCAGGGGTCCTTCCTGTCGGTTGTGCTGGGGCTTTGGACCACAGCAGGCTGTATGCAAAGAAGAACCTTAACCCCATACAATCTCTCTGGTCCTGGTTGATTTTTAGATTAATTTCCCTGTGATAAAGAGATTAAATCAGTAAGGAACTTTTTTTCCTTCAAAGTTGTTGAGTGAGCTATTTTAATACGGTGATATCACATTTTATCAGCAGGTTGCTGTTACCTGATTCTTGCCATAAGATCTAGACAAGTGCGTTTTCCTTTCTGTCTTCTCTTTTTTTGGTAAGGCTGAACAGATGGGACAGCTTCAAAGGGAGCCTCCTTTGGTGTACAGTGTTCCTTGAACTGAAATTCTATCACACTGTAGAGGATTCTGCGGTTACATCATTCACACGCAGAAAATGAAAAAACACAAAAACTGAGATTTCCTCTGTGACAGTTCTGTACTACCCAGCATGTTTTTATGTAATTCTAATTCCAGGATGTGATAAATGGCAGTGTATTTGACGACTGTCACTCTGTCAACGGTAACCAGAGTTCAGGAAGACACCCCAGAAAGCTGGAATCCATTCTTCTCTAATTTTCCTACTCCTTGAAAAGAGACACGCTACAGTGACCAACGCTGAAACAGCTGGTTCCCCCATCCCAGGGCCCCATCCACTGACCTGTGGCTGGGCGGGGGACGGGGCGTCAGGATGCTGGATGAGGATCTGGCTCTGCTCCGGACGGGCCGTCACCATGGTGCTGGCAGTACCCACCACCATCCCACAACCACCATTGATCGAGGAGACTTGGTGGGTGAGGGTAGCTTTAAGTCTCTGCAGGGAAAGATGCGGGTCGGGTGGGGGGAACAGCTTGTTCAGGGGGCGATTCGAACAAAGGGAGAAGGTGTGAGGGCTCAGAGATCACTCAGAGAGAGCGAAAATTTCCACACCGATCGTAACGGAGAAACGCAAAGAAAATGGCAGGACGAGTGACCGTGCCCCTGATCTCTAACATGGCCTGCTCCGCTCCCTGGCTGTCGTCCTGGGCACGGTCGGAGGATGGGGGTTCTTGGAGCGACAGAACCCGGGTGAGGGCTCTCTGCTGGACGCCGGCCAGGCGCTGGTGATGCAGTTAAGCACCTCTTGGCCAGCTCTCCCGCCCACTCATCCACCCTCCATCTGTCATCCTGGAACCGAAGCACAGAGTATCCCTCCCCGAACGGTCTGTGCCGCCTCTCTCATGGCCATGGTCTCTGCACCAGGCTCGAAGACAGGAAAAGAGGACCGGAGTTAGGACTCAGTCCTTCTGTCTCCAGGCCTCAAGTCAGGGTGTCTTTTATCTCAGCCAGTCCCAGAAGGCTCTTCCGCTCAGCTCCTCGGTAAATGCAGGCGGATACCCTCCGCCTCCGCCTTATTCTCCCCCCCCCCCCAAAGACCAACACTGCCCTAGGCTAAGATGTACTCACCATCTTGGCTTCTGATGGCATAGGGTGGCCAGAGGGAGAAATGGAACCACTGCTGTTCACTGGTGGGCCAGGGATACCAGGAATATTGGGCACCATAGACACAGGTCTGGCCAACTGGATCGAGACAAGGGAGAAAAAGCAGAAGGGACCATCATCCCATTGGTGAGGCAAGAGTCTTCCAGAATGCCAGCTTTGGAGGCTGGTGTGTTAGTGACCGGTTCCATGCGACGTGCCCCTAGGGCACGCAGAGGGACAGTGTGGGAAATACTCTCCCTCACGGAGCACCACAGGGTAAAAAGAAATCTAATCCTTCAGGTCTGCGAAAGCGTCTACGGGAAGCTGGGGCTGTGTCTTGAGAAAGCGGTGGGCAATTTGGGAGCTGCGAGGTGCCAGGCGAAAACAGCCTGCCGGCACGTTGGCAAGATCAATTCCTAGGCAGGAGCCAACGGTCCAGATGAGTCTTTGTCTAGTGCTGGGTTGGCAGAGGTCGGTGGAGTCTGGGCAAGCCACCGTGCTCCGCTGAGGCAGACCGGAGCCGAGGCTTCCCTGGGGCTTGTGTGCGCTCAGGTGGCCTCCTGGGGGTGGGAGGGATGAGGAGGTGGGGAGCGTTGGCCGCCCCAGCGACAGAGCTCACCGATATGACAGAAGGCATCTGCACTGGAGGCCCTGGCAGCACGGGCATGGTCTGTCCGTTAGCGAGATGCATGACGAGAGGGAGGGAGCCCGTGGGCGACCTACGGGAGACAGGAAGTGAGACCCTCAGGATGCAGACGCTTCTGCCTGGGCGTCTTCCTTCTACAATTGGAGCAGATTTTCTGGTCTCTTCTAATCAAGAAAATGATGGGACACCATTAAATTTTTTTTTTTACACTCTAGTCACTGTGATTTACGATAGTGGGTTTCATGCATACAACGGTCCAACACCACGCCCTCCAGCAGACGGACTGCGTCCCTCCAGAATGGTCTTGGCCATCTCCAGCTCAGCGTCCCGCCACCCCTCAGGATAGCATTTTATTTACTTATTTATTATTTTTTGTGGCGGTGGGGGCACACCCAGAGATTCTCAGGGGTCACTTCTGGCTGTGCACTCAGGAAACACTCCTGGCGGTGCTCAGGGGACCATCTGCGTGCCAGGCAAATGCCCTATCCACTGTACTATCTCTCCTGCCCTTGGGACAGCATTTTAAAATCTTAACGCCCTCCTGAAGGTATAAAAGGCCAGTAATGCTACTTGCCTCACCTTAAAGATGGAGAAAAATGCCAAAATCTTAATACCTTGCAAATTAAACAAATACCACTAAACTCAAATCGGTGGGAAACTAATCCTATTAATGTATACGCAATCCTGTCTCAGGTGAGGGAGACTTGTCTTTTTGTGTGTGTGTGTGTGTGTGCAGGGGTGGGGGGTGGGCAGGGCTATCGGATCACTACTTCAGGGTTACTCCCAGCAGTGCTCAAGGAACCATACACCACATCAGGGATTAAACAGGGGTTGGCTATATGCAGGGCAAGTACCTTAAGCCCTGTACTCTGTCCAGTCCCGAGGCTGCCATTTTGCAAAGCTGAATAACATCAGATGACAGGAGCTAAATGTGAATGTTTCTCTTGTTCCCTGCCCACGTTTTGTGATGCCTGCCCGAAAAAGAAGCTCTCCTTTGGAATTTTTCTAAGAGGGTTCAGAAAACAATAAACTCCAGGGGGCTCCTAAATCCTCCTGATTTAATCTCTTAGACCATGGGTACCTGGAGGCAGGATTTCAAATCATCCATTAGGAAATCTGTGTAGGGGCCATGCCAGGAGGGAAAACAACTATACAAATAAATAAAATTAAGAATAGTTGGGAAAATACCGAGAATCTTAACTAGACTGAAAGGAACTCCAGACTTCAAAGGCGACTTAACGAATCTCAGACCCTATTCACTGGTGTCCAAGCACACGACTAAAGCCAAGGAACTAAACATCCTTCCTTCTTATGTGGGGCCTGACTTTTGGGCCACACCCATTGGTGCTCAGGGGTTCCTCCTGGCAGGCTCGGGGGACCACATGGGACCTCGGGGATCGATCCTGGGTTAGCTGTATGCAAGGCCAACGCCCCGCCCGCTGTGCTGTCACTCCAGCCGCTCAACATACTTTCATGTGTGGCCTCTATTTTATTACGTAAAGTCTCTGTCTCTGTCTCTGTCTCTCTCTGTCTCTCTCTCTCAACATCCTGAAGTTTTAAGGCGTCCTGGATCAACAAATGCAGGCAGCCGGGGCTGGGAGAGTTAATGCAGAAGGCAGAGCCGTCCCAGGATCCCACCTGGTTTCCTGAGCCCCCCAGGAGTGACAGAGAAACCCTGAGCATCGCTGGGTATGAACTCAAACCCACCAAGACAATCCAGAAAGCCCCCGGTAAGTCCTGTCTGTTCTGGACCGCACTTGGCAGTGCTCCTGCTCTGTGCTCGAGGGACCCCCGTGACAGTGCTTCGGGGCATCTTCCAAGGTGCCAGGGCTTAGACCCGAGTTGGCTGCTGTGCAAGGCAAGCACCATCTTCGCTACAATCTCGGGGCCTCAAGAACATTCTTTGTCGGCTTGTTTCTAGGCCACAGCAGGTGGCGCTGGTTTGGCACTCAGGGGTCACTTCTGGCAGTGCTCAGGGGACCAAAGGGGCTGTTGGGATCGAACTGGTTTGGCCACATGCAAAACACTTCACCCAATATGCTCTCTCTCTGGCCCTTCAAGCGCTCTCTTGCTCTCTCCCCCCTCGGCCCCTTCTCTCATCTCGGTGGGGGGGTGGGGGGGCATATCCAGCTGTGCTCTGGGTTTATTCATCATCATTCTGTGCCCAGGAATCACACCTGGTGATCTAGGGGGAACCGTATGGGGTCCGAGGGATTGAATCTGAGTTAGCTGCAGGCAAGGCAAGCATCCTACCTGCTGTCGTATCTCTGTCCACCCACCAATACTTAATCTTACTATATATATATTTTTTAAAAATTTTGGGTCACATCCGGCGATGCTCAGGGGTTCCTCCTGGCTCTGCACTCAGGAATTACCCCTGGCGGTGCTCAGCGGACCATATGGGATGCTGGGAATCGAACCCGGGTCAGCCGCGTGCAAGGCAAACTCCCTACCTGCTGTGCTATCACTCCAGGCCCTTAATCTTATCTATTAGAAAAGTAAAAGAATGTTTATGGGCATTAAAAATAATTTCCGAGAGATAATCTCAGGGGCTTGTCTTCAAGCACAGTTCCTATCTTATCAAACGACTTTACAAAGAAGAAAGAGATTAGGACGTCAATCTTTCTTCTTTCTCTACTTACCCCAGCTGCCTGTTGGACGGTGGAGCCTGTGTGATGACAGAAGTCGGGGAGGGAAGGGTTGGGTGAAGTGGGTCGTAGCCCAGGTGGAGAGGCAGGGAGCCAGGCCGGACAATAGTAGGTGTGGGGGTAGAGATCACTACAGGCTTCGGGGCAACCTCCTGGGGAGAAGAGACAGATCGAAAAGGCTTTAAGGGACTTCTTAGAGGAAAACACATGCCATCTCTGAACACAGTACCTCGAAATCGAGAACAAATTTCCATGTCCTCTCCAGGGAGCACAGACAGTGGTGCCGTTCAGGATTCACCTGGCAAATGCTGCAGCACCGGGAATTACGCTCGTGGCGTCATGTTTGCCCTTGGTGCTTTTTTTGGAGGGCAACACCCCGAGGTGCTCAGGGGGAACTCCTGAACTCCTGGCTCTGCCCTTGGGGATCATGCCTGCAAGTGCTCAGGGGACCATACGGGATGCCAGGGATCGAACCCAGGTCTGCTGCGTGCAAGGCAAAGGCCCGACCTGCTGTACTCGCTCGCCAGCCCCTTCACACCTTCTGAGCCACAGATCAATCGCGCTTGCTGGGAATCTGCCAATCGGCAGAGCTGTCGGAATCGCCAGGTGCCAGCAGGCTTGAACGTGCAGTTCTTTACCGCACTGTGCTGCATCTTCTGGGCCCCCCAAATCCAGTTCAAAAGCACTGGCAAGAGCACTCGAGGTCCTTCCGTAAACCATGACCTGATTCCACCATGGCCCCTGACCTCATGCGCCCATTTAGCAGGAAAACGAAATGAACGCCTTTTGGCTCTTTCCCCTCTCGGGGGTGAGGACTCCGTGCATGAGTCAGCTGCTGGAAAATCGCTTGAAATCTCTGTGTAGCACCATAGAATTCCAGGAACTCCTATAATCTCTCACATTTGAGTCGCTATCATTCTAAGCTTGGTGTCCACCGCCATCTCATCTCTAATGAGGAAGGCAAGCCGAAGACTGGCCAGAAAGCAACCCAAAATCTCGTGCAGACCCCTTTAAAAGAGGTCATACAAGTCTGAAGACGGATCAGACTGCAATAAGACAAACTGCTGGAAAAAGGGACTGGTGGCGGGAACGCAAGTTGGGACGACTATTTCAGAAAACCCACGGAGCCTCCTCAAGAAGCTAAAGACAGAGCTGCCATATGGTCCAGCAATCCTGCTTTGGGGTACTTCTCTGAAGGACATAAATCCACAATGAATCATATCGACCTCAGTGTTTACTGCAGTGTAACTTACAAAGGCTAAAATCTGAAGCAACCAAAAAGCTCAGCAATAGAGATACAGTGCACCTAACACTGGAATATTATTCAGATAAAAAGGGCTGCGCATACGGTAGAGTGCATGCCTTCCTAGCGTGAAGCCCTGGGTTTGATTTTTTTTTTTTTTAAATCCCAGCACCAGGGGATTAAAAAAAGAAAGAAAGAAAGAATTCTTTGCCAATTGCAGCAAAACAGAAGGAGCTTGAGGGATTTTTGAGAAGTGAAATAAGTCAGAAAGAAAAAGACAAGTACTGGATATGTTCACCCACATGTGCAATACAAGGACATAAAACTGATGAACGGACAAAACAAAATGGGAAGATGAGAGTCGATACTGACAACAGAGCTCGGGTTTACCTGTGAGGAGACACGTACGGGGGACGGGGAGGGAGGCAGAGCGGGAGTACCTCAAATGAAACAAAAACCTAACCCAACTCATAACTACAGAAAATAAATAAAACCAAGTAAATCGATTGCTTCCACTGTTAATTTGGTAGACTGAGACTGAGAGGGCCTCGAAGGCCTGACCAGAGAGGGAGAAGGGGCAAGAGTGGCTCTGGTTTCTGTTGGGTTTTTTGGCTTTTTGGGTCACACCCGGCAATGTACAGGGGTTCCTCCTGGCTCTGCACTCAGGAATTACTCCTGGCGGTGCTCAGGGGACCCTACGGGATGCTGGGAATCGAACCCGGGTTGGCCATGTGCAAGGCAAACGCCCTCCCCGCTGTGCTGTCGCTCCAGCCCCGGAAGAGTGGCTCTGTGATGGCAGGGCAGGGTCTGTGCTCTGGGGGGACACAGCTGACAGTGGGTTCTCCTGGGCCTGGACCTGGGGCTAGCTCATGCTCAGCACGGATTCCCGCCCTTGGAGCTGTTTCTTTCTTTGCCTCTCACAGTGGGGTAAGTTACTGAGCCAAATTGGGATGTAGCGAAGACTAGGTTTCCGTGGTGGGAACTGCAACGAACAACCAACTGGCAGAAAATCAGAGTGTGAAGGAAGGCGTAAGGGAACTTCCAGGGTTCTGATAAGATCTGCGTGCTGGTTACTCAGATCTTATCAGAAGCCGCTCTGTGAAAATTCAGTGAGCAGGACATCTGCGTATGTGTTTTATGTTTTACCTACATACAAAAATAACACTGAAGAGGTTTAGAGGTTTCCGCTTACGTAATATCGGAATTCTAGTCAAGTTCCCTCTGAGTCTTTACAAGACTTCCCTCCGGAAGGACTTTTCCTCCTCTAACTTCCTTTTTTTTTTTTTTTGATGTTGCAGCCACATATAGCAATGCCTGGGCGCTACTCCAGGGGTGCTCAGGGGACCCTAAGATGACACCTCAGCTTGCAGTACGCAAAGCATGCACTCAGTCCTTTGAGTTTTTCCCCAGCCCTCAAAATGTAATGACGAATTTATGAAGTGTGAGGTTTTTCTTTTTCCCTTAAATGAAGTACAGCAGAGAGAGAGAATCAAGTTCACTATCATAAAGGATGCAACTAAATGGCTTTTCTTTTTGGTTTTGGCCCACACCCGGTTGTGCTTAGGGCTTATTTCTGGCTCTGCTCTCAGGAATCACTCCTGGTGGTACCTCGGGGACCATACGGGATGCCAGGGCTGGAACCCAGGTCGGCTGCATGCAAGGCAAACCTTGCCCACTATACTATCACTCTGGCCCCCATGAAATGACTTCTCAAATATGTGGAATCAAGGCCGAGACCCTTTTCAACTTCACAGGTCCTCCTGTGTCCTCTCCAAATGTATGCCTTCACAAGCAGTAGACATTATCCGAAGTTCTGCAAAAACAGTCTACCTTGCCTTAAACCTGACAGTAGTGGAAAATCAAACTTAAAATACTACTGATGAGTATGAACTGTTGTTGGCCAATATAGCATCTGAGAGATTCATCCACACAGCTTTGTGTATCATTAGTTCATTCTGGTTTGAGGGAAGCCACACTGGCAATGCTCAGGGCATTCTCTTGGCTCTGTGCTCAGGGACCACTCTTGGCAGGCTTGGGGGACAATATGGGGTCCCAAGGATGGAACCTGGGTTGGCCACGGGCACGGAAAATGCCCACCCAACATCCTGTTTTTCCAGTCCCTGGCTCATTTTTTTTTCAATGCCAAGTAGTTGTTTCTTTTAGAAATATACTGATTCATTCTATTGGTGGTGGACAGTGGGCTATTCCAAGAGTTTCGTCTTTCATTGGGGTGGAGGGTTGGGCCACAGCTGGTGGTGACTTACTCCTGGCTGAGGGTTCACTCCTGGCGGGCTCAGGGGAACACATGAGGTGCCAGGGATCGAACCCAGTACCTCATGTGGTAGCAAATGCTCTACCAGCTGTACTATCGCTCTGGCCTCTCTAAGAGTTCTCTTCTCTCATGACTACAAAGGTTATGAATATTCTTATACGCGACTTTTGCTGTACACGTGCAGTACTTTCCACAGACTTGCAAGAATTCTTGGGCCAGGTAATAGGTCTCTGTTAAATACCTATTGAAGAAAATCTTTTAAGCAATGAGTTGACCCTGCACTACGTGCATTTATGCAATACAGTGAATTCAAACGTACTGACTGGTTAACACTCGGAGGGGTTCTGGGTGGCGATCTTTACCTTCTCCTTGAGCGGTGGGGAGCAGGCGCTGGAGGCAGGGCTGTCAGGCGGGGTCGAGTCTACCTCCACTGGTTCTTCTTCTTTGATTTTGACGTCTGGTGTGGAAGGCAGAGACATGTCAAGGGGCCCCGTAACCGCCTGTTTCAAGAGAAATGAGTCATAGTTCAAGCCTTGATTCCCTTCCGGTTGCATCTACACTTTGCTAGTTAACAGAAGGGAGGAGGACATCCTAAGAAGTTTAGCCCTTGGCCAAAGCACTAAACTGCAAGTTTTTGTGGCTCCTAGCTTTGCTTGTTTTTGCAGCCCCACACCTGGCAGGCAGGGGCTACTCCTGGCTCTGCACTCAAGAGTCACTCCTGATGGGACTTGGGGGGCCATATGGGATGCTGGGGCTGGAACCCGGGACAGCCCTGCGCGAGGCAAAATGCCCCCCCTGCTGTGCTCTATCTCCAGCCCCAGAGTTTTATGTACAAATCTGCAAAATAATTTGAACTTATTAGGATTTATGTTTCCCTAACTATAAAGGACATACTCTGCTTCACCACAGATGAAAATTATAAGTGCGTGTGTGTGTGTGTGTGTGGTGCCGGGATCAAACCTTCTAGCATTGTGCAATATTTACAATCTCTTATAAATTGAATGGGAAAAGAATTTATACAGACTATGAAAGGAAAAATTATGTGATTTAGGGGCTAGAGATAGTGGGGAGGGTATTTGCCTTGCACAAGGCTGAACTGGGTTCAACTATACCCCGTATGGTCCCCCGAGCACTGCCAGAAGTGAGCCCCAAGCACAGAGCCAGGAGTAAGCCCTGAGCACCACCAGGTGAGGCCCAAAAAACGATCTGACAACTTTTTGCTTTTATTTTTGTTTCTGGGCCACAGCTGGCAATGCTCAGGGGACCATATCGGGCACTGGAGATTGAACCCAGGACAGCATGTGCAAGGTAAGACCCCTACCGGCTGTACTATTACTCCAGCCCCTAACAACTATTTTTTTTTTGAGGACCATACCCAGTAACGCTTTGGGAAATAAGCAGTGCAGGGATCAAACCTGGGACTCCTGTGAAAACACTTATTTAAGTTGGTGTAAATATGATTATATTCTTCTTCAGAAAAATAATCACTAAGGACAGTATTTTTTTTTCCCAACCAATGGTGTTGGCTACTAAAGAATGTGAACACGTTTCCTGTCAGCAAAAATGACTAGACTGGTTGACAATGGCAGAAAGTAAGTAAACAAATTGGTACTCCAAACATGGGGCCAAGGCGACAGCACAGCAGGGAGGGTGCTTGACTTGCATTCGATCCCTGGCACCAAATACGGTCCTCTAACCCTGCCAGGAGCGATCTCTGAGCACAGAGCTTGGAGGAAGCCCTGAGCACTGCTGGGTGTGACCCACCTCCCCCACACAACAACGAAAAGTATTGCAAACAAAAACAGAAGGAAACAAACATGAAATACTGCAAAGGAGACCGGAAAGCTCTTTCCTGGGGAACTCTTTGTGCGGGGTGGTGATCTCGCTCCACATATGGTACTCGAGAACAGAAGTTAGGAAGAGAAGTTTTGGGGCAACAGAGAAAGGAATACCGGTCACTTCATCAGCGAAATTAGGATGTGGTCCTAGGAGTGAGATTAGGGAGGAAGCAGCGTGCATTTCTGGCAGATGCGATCACTTCACAGAACTATGGAGCTGTAAACGGCTTTGCAGGGAACAATAAGCCATCTGAGAGGAGGCCTTGACGCTGAGCTGTGACAGGACGGCTGGCCCTGCAGCTCTGCCGCACAAAGCAGAGTCTTTGTTCTACTCCTCCCATACCGGAGGACTGAGCTGAAAGAGTAGCTTGTTTCGAACTCTGCCCTTGCTATCCTAATGCCTAGAAACCGTCAGAGCTCAGCAAACTGAAGCAAAGATCTGGCGTTTACTATTTCAGAGAAGGTGGCCATGGTTCTTCTCCAAGATGAAGGGGACAAGGAACAGCAAATATGCTTTCATTTCTACCCTCACATTTTTTCCCTCATTTCTGTTTCTGGGCCACACCTGGCAATTCTCAGGAGCTACTGCTCCTGGCTCTGTGCTCCAGGGTAAGTCCCAGCAGTGCTAAGAATCCAGGCCTCTCACGTGCTTGGCCTGTGCTAAGCCCACTGAGCTATCCCTTGGGCTCTGCACTTACTTTGCCTTCCTGCTAAGAGTTGGAGCTGACGGAGAGAACGGCTTCCCGGAAGTCTGAAGGTGGTAAGTGGCAGCAAGGAGAGGCCTCTAAATAAATACACCGTTCTTAAAAATACTCATGGGCAACTCCTAGAAAAATGTTGGGTTCAGTAAACATTCGTGGAGAAAATCTTCCACTAATTATATGCTTTTCATCAGAGGAGATGAAGACCACCTTTTACACAAGGATGTTTTTTATCCAGGAAAGACCAAAGAGTAACGGTCTGATCAACTAGAATGTCCTCAGAACGAGCTAAATTGGCAGCGGGCTTGAAGCTTTTTGGGAGGAAACACCTGGAGATGTTCAGGGGTTACTCCTGGTTCTGCACTCAGGAATCTCTCCTGGCAGCGGTAGGGAGGCCTTATGGGATGCTGGGGATCGAACCCAGGCTGGCCATGTGCAAGGCAAGTTCCTTACGCGCCGCACTCTCTCTCCAGCCCCTAGGAGGTCTAGTTTTCTTGCCTGTAGGAGTTTGGATTAAATTTCCTAACACCTTAGTGGAAATAAGTGGACTGTTTTAGGGGAGAAAGAAAAAGAGGGGCGACTTTAGCAAGCTATAAATTAAGTTATATTATGTAAATAAAAGCAACTAAGATTAAGAGATGACAGTCCCTGATTTCTTTTTTCAGGGGGCCCATACCTGGAGGTGCTCAGTACTCCTGGCTTTTGTTCAGGGATTAGTCCTGGGGGGACCAAACCTGGGCCAACTGCGTGCGAGGCAAATGCCTCACCGCTATACTACGATTCTGGACTCCAGATCTGATTTTATTCATTTATGTAAATTTTGTTATTATTATTTTACTCTTTGGGCTATAACTAATGGTGCCCAGAGGTGACTCCTGGCTCTGCACTCAGGAATCACTCCTGGCAGTGCACAGAGGACCATATAGGATTTTGGGAATTGAACCCGGGTCAGCCACATGCAAGGCAAACACTCTACCTGCTATACTCTCACTCTGACCCCTAGTTATTTATTTATTTTTAAAGCTGCTCTTTGATTAACTGATTTTATTAATCACCATGATATTACAAAGTTATTCATGATTGGGTTTCAGACGTACATTGTTTCAACACCAGCCAGATTTTATTTGACTTATTTATTTATATTTACTTTTTAATTTCTGCTTTTTGAGTCACATCTGGCGACACTCAGGCATTACTCCTGGCTCTGCACTAAGGCATTACTCCTAGTGGTGCTCCGGGGACCATATGGAATGCCAGGGATCGAACCCGGGTTGGCCGCATGCAAGGCAAACGCCCTCCCCGCTATGCTATAACTCCGTTCCTTTTAGTTTTTTCGTATTTGGGTCACACCCAGCAATGCTCAGGGGTTACTCCTGGCTCTGAGTTCAGGCATCACTCCTGGTAGTGCCTGGGGAACCATATGAGGTGCCAGGGATCGAATCCACATCAGCTGCGTGCAAGGCAAGCGCCCTACTCATTGTCCTATCGTTACACCTAGGATTCTAGCATTTTAATCCTTTCTACAATATTTTTACTAAGGAGTCTACATAGAATTGTAGCAGCTTTCACTTGCTAGTCCTATTATTTTCTCTGGGGCATATATGAAGAACCACATATGCTCAACAAAGAGTTGAAGTTCAATAAATGCTGACTTATATGAGAAGTTCATGGAGAGGTCTAATGAGTTTAAAAAAAAAAAGAAAAGAAAAGAGTACAATTTGGGGGTTAGCGAGAGAGTACAGAGTTAAACTTGCCTTGCAAACATCAAACCTGTGTTCAATCCCTGGCACTGCACATGGTCCCTGGAACTCTGCTAGGTGTGATCCGACAAACAAAAACCAAAAAAAAAAAACCCCACCAAGTACAATTTGGCAAAAAAGAAAATAGTTCCTGGGGGCTGGAGCGACAGTACAGCAGGTAGGGTGTTTGCTTGTATGTGGCCAACCCCGGTTCAATTCCCAGCATCCCATATGGTCCCCTGAGCACTGCCAGGGGTAACTCCTGAGTGCAGAGCCAGGAGTAATCCCTGAGTATCGTTGGGTGTGACCCAAAAAGGAAAAAAAAAGTTCCTGGATTATACCTTGAAGTATAAGATCCTAGTAATTTACGTTTTTTCACATCTTTAACATGTTAAGAACAGAAATAATTTTGTTGTCATTATTATCATTTCTTTGGGGGGGGGAGACATATGAGGGTCCATATGATGCCAGGGATTGGATCCTGGGCCTCACACAAGCAAGGGATATACTCTGCTATTCAAATCACATCCCCAGGGGCCAGAGAGATGAAACAGCGGGTGCTTTCCTTAATGCAGCGGACCTGGTTTGATCCCCGGCATGTTCAATCCTATAAAAGGTTCCCAGAGCACTGCCAGGAATGATTCCTGCAGCCCTGAGTAACCATCAGGTGTGGCCCGTAAAGAAATAAAGAAATAAATAGCATAGCAGGCCTCCAGAGCAGATCATTTTTGGTTGTAATGTTGTTGGTTTTTTGGTTTGCTTTGGGGCCATGCCTATCAGTGACCCAAAAGGAAAAATTCCTTAGTTAAGCCCTTATTTTGACTCTTGAGTCTGTTCTTAGAGGTCATTCCCGGCAGTGCTCACGGCACCCAGAGGCACCAATAATTAAACCAGGGCCGGCCACGTGCAAGGTGAGTGCCTTAGCCCTGTACTATCACTCTGGTCACATATTAAATATTAAAATAGATTGCTTGGCTGGGGGTGTGGCTTGAGGAAGAGTTTACTTGCCTTGCATATGTGAAGTCCCGGGTTTGATTCCTGGTACCACATGGTCGCCTGAGCACTGAATTGGGGGCATCTCACAACTGGGATGCGGCCCCCAAACGAACAAAAAATAGATTATTTAACTAGTGCTCCACGAGAAGGGCAAGAAGACTGATTCCTGGTGCAGACAAAATTGTGCTGGTCCGTCACCAGGATTCCCTGGAGGCCGAGATGATGACTGACAGGAGGGGACTAACTCCTGCCCGACAGAAGCAAGCCCTGAGCACGGCCACCGTTTTGGGTCTGAACCAAGGAAGTGAGTGATGCCAGGACCCCGCGAACATGGCCTGGCTCTGACCACCAGGCCTTCAGCAGAGACCCCGCCTCTTGCCTTTTTGTCCTCCTCGTCCGAAGCTTTCTTGAATTCATGTTCAAAGGAGCTTGCCAGCTCATTGAAGAGCCCCACCTCCTCGCAGTTCTTCAGGAATCGCGTTGGAGTAGGAGTCTGATCTGTGGGCAGGAAAGGAAAAACGCTATTTTAGAGTCGAGGGAGAGCCTCAGGGACGGCGAGAGCACAACTTGATTCTGTTTGGACACAGAGGCTCGGCGCCAGGCTGAGCTGCTGTCAGGCAGCTCCGGAAAGCCAAGGAAAGCCAAGGCCACTGCGAGGCCAGCAGAGGGGGTCTGTGTCGTGCTGCCTCCAGGCCAGCAGAGGGAAGGCAGGGCCGCGCTTTCCTGCAGGACTCCCCCTCTCACCCCTAAACAAAACCCAGCCACCCACTCCGAAGGAGTCTGTGTGCAAACTTCAAATCTGAAAACCAAAGACCGTCGAGTGACGTTTTCTCTTTCCGCGTCTGTGGAGAGTAGACAAACGCATACCCCCGTTAGAATCCGAGGAGGAGGAGAAACTGAGGACCAGATGGTCCTGCATGCTTGCGAAAGCCACCGAGTAACAATTGGAGCCCTGTCTTGCAGAGCTCGCCGAGGTAAGAGCCTGCCACCTTCTGCAAGCGTTCCAGGAAAATCCAGGGGCTGGGGAACGAGGCCGCGGGGTCCTGAGCTAGAAAAGGAAGCTGCAGACAATAGGGCTTCTCTGACGGAGACCTGGGCCCAGAGCAAATTCCGGAAAGCAAAATTTAGATTCGTTGACCAAAATATCCTCTCAGAGGCTGCTCAAATCTTTTCCTCAATGCAGTGCATCTGCCCGTGGGAAAAGACAGGCCTCTGGGTAACTCAGGGGGACTTTTCAAGTTTGCATTTCCGCTTCTCTCTCTCTCTCTCTCTCTCATTCTGCTCCCATTCTCTCTCCCGCAATCTGTTTCTAGATTTCTCTCTTAGTTGGACCCTGTTCCTTGATCTTAAATCTGCTACGATGCCAGTCAGTCTGAGAGATTCACCCCAGACCTCAAATGGCTAGACGGAATGACAGAAGCAGAATGATGTTTAAATGTAATTTAAGGAGTGAGGCCTGGGGTTAAAATCGCGTCTTCGAGCAGGAACGGTTCTGTGGGATTTTCCATGGAAATGCAGTTTAAAAAACAGACAAAAATCTCTTCTGAATCAGTATGTTTGGAAAAGTTACCACCTACCTCCCAAAATAGTTTTAAAAGGTTCTTTGGTGGCTTTGGTTGGCCAGCGATAAAGCCACTTTCTCTTGATCCCTGGGTGAGTGGAGGTAATGTCACCCCTTAGGCTCACAGAGAATTTCAGTCAAGGCAAACAAACAAACAACAAATCACAGCACAAGTGGACTCGATGGGGCAACTCAGGGCAGAGCTAAGGCAGAAGGAGGCCTTTGAGATTCCTGATCTTCGGCTCTTTGAAAAGCGTCTCCCGTTCCTGAACAAACAGCAGGAGTCTAAAAACGTGTAAGGAAACCCTTCCTGCTGCAATGATTCTGGAAAAAAATAAATCAACAAATACCTACTGAATACCTTCTGTGTGCCTGGGTGCTCCATGCACACGTTTGTGTGGACATTTGGGGGCGGAGCTGCAAGGAGCATAGGTGTTTTCCCAAATCGAAGACACGGCAATTGCCCCATTAAGCATTAAAGATGTTTTCTAGTTGAGGAAATAAAGCCAATCCACATAGACAGCATTATAGTGTCACTGTCACCGTCCTTCCGTTGTTCATCGATTTGCTCGAGCAGATCCAGTAACACTGTGACAATTGTTACTGTCTTTGGCATATCAAATACGTCACGGGGAGCTTGCCAGGCTCTGCCGTGCGGGCGAGATACTCTCGGTAGCTTGCCAGGCTCTCCGAGAGGGGCGGAGGAATCGAACTCGGGTCGGTCATGTTGGCAGCGTGCAAGGCAAACGCCCTACCTGCTGTGCTATCGCTCCAGCCCCTCAACTTGGGTTTTGTTTTTTTTTTTCGGGGGGGGGGGTCACACCCAGCAATGCACAGGGGTTCCTCCTGGCTCTGCACTCAGGAGTTACTCCTGGCGGTGCTCAGGGGACCACACGGGATGCCGGGGATCGAACCTGGGTCGGCTGCATGCAAGGCAAACGCCCTACCCGCTGTGCTATCGCTCCAGCCCCGCAACTAGGGTTTTTTTTTGGGGGGGGGGTCACACCCGGCGATGCACAGGGGTTACTCCTGGCTCTGCACTCAGGAATTACCCCTGGCGGTGCTCAGGGGACCATATGGGATGCTGGGAATTGAACCCGGGTTGGCCGCGTGCAAGGCAAACGCCCTGCCCGCTGTGCCATGGCTCCAGCCCCCAACTAGGTTTTCTTCAGGATCATTCACGACAATGTTCCCACTCGAGTTTCTTACAATCCACAAGGTCCCAGCAATGTGCCTTATGCACAGAGTAGATATTGAAGAAATATTTTCTGGGTTTGTAGGGAGTGAGAGATCTCTAGAGGAAGTGCCTTTCTTCATGCAGAGAAGTAGAGAGAGTAGATTTCTCCCTCTCATTCTCTATTTCTTGAGTGGCATTCTGACTAGTAGTCTTAGGGAGATGGTATCTTACCTGATTTACTTATTTTTGGGGCCACACGCTGTGTTGCTCAGGGCTTGCTCCTGGCTCTGTGCTCAGGGATCGTATGGGATACCGGGGAATCAAACCTGGATCGGCCATGTACAAGAAAAATGCCCTACCTGCTGTGCTACTGCTCCGCCCCCCCCCGCCAGATTTATTAATTGAAATAACAATTACCAGTTAAATATTAAGATCAACTTGCTTAACCCGGGCTAGGTCAGAAAAAAGCCAGCACTGGGCCAAAGAGAAATACGGAACTTTAGGAGGTCGGCCTTGTTGTGGCTGACCCTGGTTCAGCCCCCAGCACTGCGTGCGGTCCCCCTTAGCACTGTCAGGAGTGATTCCTGGGGCAGAGCCAGGAGTACACCCTGAACACCATCAGGCGTCGCCAAACACAACAACAACCACCACACAACAACAGCGACAACAAAAAAGAAAAGGCAAAGAAAAAGCCCGCTTGGGCTGGGAGGGACTGCTGCGAACACCCCCCTGAGGACGGCATGCGGAAGCAAGACCGTTTCCGAAACAACTGCCGCGAGGTTCCAGGTCACCCAAATGGCTGAGGAAAGTCCCACTGACTAAATGTCTTGTTTGAGCTTTGAAAACGTCCCTCGGCAGTGTCAGGGTTCACCAGGGAAGCTGAATTTATGAACTGACAATCTGTCGGCTCGGGGAAAACTGACACCACGTCAGAGGGAGCCGAGCAACTGGGTCAGCCTCCTTCCGTTCTTTTGTTCATCCCTTTGGTGCAGAGGGGCAGCCGTGTCTAAGGCACCGCTCTCTGCAAACCTCCCGAAGTCTCGACAGAAGGAAGGCAAGGGGGGAACAGACCCCCCCCCCCCCCCGAGAAAAGAGGAAAAGCTAACACCAAATCTCAGTGCATTTTCCCTCGGAAACTGCCGGGCCCGCTCCCCTATCTCTTCTACCAAAAACAGAGTGGGGGCGTAATAGACCGGGGAGCTTTTAGTGCTCCATTTTCCTGATGAAATGCAGATCACGTCAGGGCTCTTAATGGGAGAAGGGGAGTGCAGCTCCCAGTGCATCTGGTCCCTGGTATTAATCTTAACTGTCGGGTGATATTAAGGCACGTGGCTTCTGGGGCGGCAAGTACCTGCAATGATGACTGAGTCGGTTCGGGCCGGGCCAAATTTCAATGTCATCTCATGCTTGTGTTTATGAACTGCCAGGTGGTCCTCGTTTGTAAATCTCTGAAACGAAACAGAAACGGAGATTGAAAAAAAAGACTCGGTGTCCTTTTTAAACGTCCTATCAAACACTCTGTCATAAGGCTGGTCTCTGGGAAGAGGGGGCTTGGGAAGGGGATGGGAAGGAGAAAACACAAGAAGGGGCAGTTCCCGAAAGAAGACGAGGAAGGGGAGAGAAAAGGTGTCGGAGGAGCGGGGAGGAGAGAGGAACGGACAGCACCAACTGCTCTGCGAAACCCGGTCCAAGCGCGGGGACGCGGACAGATTGCCGGCGAGGAGGGCCGGGCAGGAGGCTCCGAACGGAAAAGCCATTCCGGCAAGCTCGGGACTACAAGGGGAAAATCATTTTTAATAATCGTAATAAAGAGAGGAGGGGAGAAAGCCTGGGCACGCAGTGGCCATCACAAGAGCAGGCGCTCAGCCGAGGCTCTCCGTGGGGGGGCCGGGCGGGGCCGTTTACGAGGGGGCTAACAGGGAGATGAATTATGCAGGATGAGGAGGACGCTGAACTTCCTGGCCCCCGCAGGGCTGCAGCAGGCGCCGGCCCAGCTCCTTGGCTCGGCGCTTTAACGAGCCAGGACGGAGCCGTAGAGGACAGAGGCCCGACGGCCAGCAGTCAGGACACATGCCAGCCCCGTCGGCCAAATGCCGGCTCGCCTCATCGGGCAGCCGCCTGGGCTCCACGGGCCATAAAGGGGCCAGTGCGGGGCGGCTGGCTGGCTAACGACAGAGCAAAGACTCAGCGAAAAGGCTGTCGGGGTAGGGAGCGGCCGGGAAGGAGGAGCCGCGCGGAGGTTCGTCGATTTCGGGTTTGGGGGGAAGGCCAAGGTCAGGGGGCAGCTAGGTGGGCCTGTTTATGGCTAAGCGAGGCAGGGCACCGGGCAGTCGCTCCCGCTCCGTCCTTCTCTAGAAGGGGAGGCGGGAACAGATGAACCCGCAATTCAAAAGAACGATCTCCTCCCCCCAGTCCCCTCTGGGGCGGGCTGGCCACGTGCCTTCATTACAGCCTTCAACCCAGTAACAGCTTGGACACTGTGGCTGTCCACAGCTCCCTCCCCGGGAGGCTCCATTTGTCTTTTTGTTTCTAAAAATAATAACGGGGAAGGCCCCCTCTTCTGGTAGGACACTTTTCATGAGACACTCCCAAACGAACACCATACCCTTAGCCCTCTTCCCACAATTCTTTTGTTTATTCAAATTCAAATTTTTCTTATTTCGGGCCACTCTGCGGTGCTCAGCGCTTACTTCTGGCTCTGTGCTCAGGGATCATTCCTGGCACTGCTTGGGGGATCCCATGGGGTGCCGGGGGACTGAACCTGCTTGGCCATGTGAAGGGCAAATGCTTTAATCATTGTACCGTCTCCAACTCTCCAGTTCTTTAAAAAAGTTTTGGGTCACACCTTGCTGTGCTCAAGGCCACTCCCAGCAGTGCTCAGGATCCCATGCAGTGTGGGGATCAAATCCAGGCCCCTGACAAGCAAAGCTTACACGCCAGTCCTGGAGTCACCCTCCCCCGCCTCCACCCCCCGGAGTTCTTAGCCACCAAGCCAACAGGAGTTGGCCAGTCCGGCTCACATCCAGTCCAAAGCAACAGCAAAGTGCTTGAAGTTACTCTCCCTGAAAGCAGCTTTCTCTAAATTTGCTCTGCTTCCTGTCACAACCAAGGACGGCTAATGATCTGAAAGTCTTGCTTGCTTTACACGCATCCTATCCGGGTTCAATCACTGGTGTCCCGTGTGGTTCCTTGAACAGTACCAGGAGTGATTCCTGAGTGCAGAGCCAGGAGTAAGTGCTGAGCACCGCCAGGGTGTGGGCCATAAGCAAACAAAAACAAAACCCTTCTTGTACACGGCTGTATAGGCCTGAGGGCACAGAAAGATTTCGACTCAAAGCATGAATAACCAAGAAGTGCAAAAGCCAAAGGACAACCTTAAGCCCAGGGAGTGGCTCAGTGAGAAGCCTTGTAAGCAGGAGCTGCCAGGTTGATCCTCGGCACTGGGCACACTGCAGAGTGTGATCCTGGGGCCACAAGTGTGCAAGTAACACAATGTACACCCCCCTGGACATGGGAATAACAAAGAAACGGGAAAGGGCAGGAGAAAAGAGCCTTGGTGGTTTTGGATGGATTCAGGACAAAACTCAGTGGTCTGGGGGAATTTGGCCCCAAAGCAGAGTTTTCTCCATTGGTGGTTAACATTGGACACCAATCTTTTTCTTACCTCCTATTTTTTTTTGGGTGGCCACACCCAGTGGTGCTCAGGAGTCACTCCTGGTGAGGCCCAGGAGACCATATGGGGTGTCAGAAATTAAACTAGGATTGGCTGCATGCAAGGGCAAGTGACCTACCTGCCCCCCCCTTTTTTTTTTGCTTTTTGGGTCACACCCAGCGATGCACAGAGTCACACCTGGCTCTGCACTCAGAAGTTACTCCTGGCGGTGCTCAGAGGACCATGTGGGATGCTGGGAATCAAACCCGGGTCGGCCGCGTGCAGGGCAAACGCCCTATCTGCTGTGCTATCTCTCCAGCCCCCCTACCTGCTTTTATTAATGTTCTTGAGGGAGGTACATCCAGTAGTGCTGGGAGCTATTCCTAGTCCCAAGATCACTCCTGGTGGTCTTGGGGGACCATGTGAGTTCCAGCTATGCTCAGGGCATATTTCTACGCTCAGGAATTACTTCTGGCAGGTCTCGGAGGATCATACTGGATGCCAAGGATCGAACCCGGGTCAGCTATGTGCAAGGAAAGGGTGTACTAACACTCCAGCTCTAAAGAGTCAATTCTTAAAAATTCAGGGGCCAGAGAGATAGTACAACAGGTAGGACACTTGTTTTACATGTGGCCAACTCGGGTTTGGCCCCCAGCACCCTACACAGTCTCCTGACTACTTCCAGGAATAATCCCAGAGCACAGAGCCAGGAGTCAGCCCTGAGCACCCCAGACGTGACCTCAAAACCAAACAAAAATAAAAGTGAAAATCCAGTACAGCCTTAAAATGCGTGCTTGGGCTTAGGAAACTACCAGCCTCTCTCCAAAGCAATTTCTCAAGTATAACATCTAACATTATTAAGTGCTTAAAAAAATTGGGGAAGGGGTCACACCAGGTGGTTCTCAGGACCTATAATTGGCTCTGTGCTGAGGGATCACTTCTAACGTGGCTTGGGGGACCATATATGGTGCCGGGGATGGAACCTGGGGTCGGCTACATGTGAGGCAAATGTACCTGCTGTACTATCTCTCCGTTCTCATGAAAAACATTTTAAATCTAATTGAACATACAATTTTATCAACTAAAATGGGTGACGGGGGTATTCCAAAAGGGTCCCCACTGAAAAATTTAACTGTGCCGTTTGTTCATACTTGCAATGCGGCTTCCTTTGCTCTTTGATCTCACCTATGAAGAAGGTTTTGGCAGAAAACGACTCACGTAGGTAATGGTCATTCCAGCTATAGGACAAACAGTAAGTTTTTGATAACTGCAAGATCTTCTCTCCCAAACAGATGCCGTTCAAATGGGGGTTGAAGAATTTTAGATCTCACTCTAGATCAGGAAGTGACTCACATGTCGGGGAGGGGGGACTGGTGCAGGACTGTTTTAGAGTCTTATTTGCTGGCACATACGAATCAGCTCAGGACAGGTTTTTCGCAAAGAAAACATGGGGGGTGGCATGGGGATTCAGCTCAGTGGGAGAACACTTACTTTGTGTGTGTGAGGTCCTAGACTCAATCCTGGCACAGAAGGATGAGGCGGGGGAGGAGACGAAACGGGGAGTAGAAGTATTACGTGCCAACTCACACCCCATCACAGATCAAGACGCAGTTCTTTATTTACTACACATGGTGACAGAGAACTGGAAGTCTGAATACACACAGGACGTCAAGGATTTAGACTCAAAAAGAACACAGGGAACGGAGAAATTGCAACAGCGGGAAGAGTTGCTTGCTCTGCACATGGTCAACCTGGGTTCAATCCCTGACACCTTTTAGAGTCCCCACAGCATTGCCAGGGGTATTTCTTGAGGGCAGAGCCAGAAGGGAGCCCGGAGCACTGCTGGATGTGGCCCCCAAACAAGCAATAATAGTATAATAAAAGACCTTGGGAATTTTATGTTGATTCCACGTTGACACATGTAATACATCCGGAGTATTTTGGATCTACTGTACTAAGTGAATTATTACAATTGATTTCACTGTTCAATTTTACTTTGTGGATCTGTTTTATTTGGGGGCCATGACTGGTGGCACTCAGGGCTTGTGCCTGGGTCTGCGCTCAGGGATCACTCAAGCAGGGTTCAGGGGACCTGGTGCAGGTATTTCAGGGACAGAACCTACACTGGCCTCATGCAAGGCAAGAGCCCTACCTGTCTACCTGTCGTACTATCACTCTAGCTCCAGTTTCAACAAACAAACAAACAAACAAACAAACACTGTCCTCCCGTTGTTCATCAATTTGCTCGAGCGGGCCTAGTAATGTCTCCATTGTGAGACTTCCTGTCACTGTGTATGGCATATTGAATACTCTCGGTAGCTCGTCAGGCTCTCCGAGGGGGGAGGAGGAATCGAACCTGGCTCGGCTGGGCTGGCTGTGCCCAAGGCAAACGCCCTACCGCTGTGCTATCGCTCCAGTCCCAGCTCCAGTTTACTTTGACCACTTATGTATTTTTGGCTTTTGGGCCGTATCTGCAGTTCTTAGGGCTCACTCCTGACTGTGACCCGGAATCACGCCTGGCAGTGCCTGGAGGACTGACCGTATACGGTACCAGGGATCAAACCCAGGTCAGCTGTGTGTAAGGCAAGCACCCTACCTGCTGCACTATCATGCTGGCTCCACTTTCACTTTTTAATGGGCTATTTAAAAATTTTAAGTTATGTGAATTTGTGGTTTACGTTATATTTCTTTGGGACATACGGACTGGAGCAATAGCACAATGGGTAGGGCATTTGCCTTGCACGCGGCCGACCCAGATTCGATTCCTCCGTCCCTCTTGGAGAGCCCAGCAAGCTA